TAGCCAGGATAGTCTCGATCTCCTGACCTCGTGATCCACCCGCCTCGGCCTCCCAAAGTGCTGGGATTACAGGCTTGAGCCACCGCGCCCGGCCAAGTGACCTCCTTTTTTATCCTCAAGCTGGCCTTCCCACCTACCCTCCAATTAGGTTGGACCTTGTTAACCCTTTGAAATACCACTTTAACCATGTGTTTTCTCTCTCACCACTTCCTCTAGGAAGTCCCCCTGGATATGTGTGTCCCTTTCTTTTTCTGTCTCCCCCTTGCTCTCCTCTGCGTGGTTGGTCTCCACTTCTGGTCTTAGCTGAAAGCTTAGTCCTGACTCACCTGTGTCCATCTTCCCCCAGCCGGGCCCAGTTGCCTTGACCTCCATGTGTGGTAGGCACAAGGCATGGATTATCCCCAAACAAGGGTAACCTTCAACCCTCAGAGAGTGTCCCAGTGGCCATCCTTTCACTCAGGACAGTTCTCCTTGGCTGGCCCGTCACTGATGCCTACTGTGTCTTCCCAGGTCAGCCAGTCCCAGCTGAGTCTGAGAAATGCTTGTCTCCCCTCGGCCTTGGTAGTGGACACTGAGGTCCTCCTGTAGGGCCGGGCCAGGGGGTGCCCAGGCATAGGAGGAAGTTCCCAGGAGGGCGTGCTTTGTGAGAAGCCCAGAGGCTCCTGCCCCTCCCCCAGAGTCACCCCCACTCTGTTTTTTCTGTCCTGCAGACACTACCCCAAGCAGTCCTTCACCATGGTGGCTGACACCCCGGAAAACCTTCGCCTCAAGCAACAGAGTGAGCTCCAGAGTCAGGTGAGGGGCTGGGCGGTGCCGGGGCCTGGTGGGGAGAGGGATGCTGGGGAGGGGTGTTGTAAGGTCGCCATTTGGCAAGAGTACCTTCCCCTGCGGTTACTCTGCAAGGCCAGGGTGCTGAAATCCTAGCATTGCCTTGACGCTTGACCCCACCCCTGACTTTATCAAAGGAGCCGAGTACAGCGTTCCCCCACTTCCTACCTAGAGGGGATTGGAGAGGTGTGGGTGTCTATCTGAGCCCGCTCTGGGGCTCCCTAAAGCCCACCTCCTCCAGGAAGCCACTCTCCCCTCCGTCTTCCCCATTCACACTTACCCAAAAAGGAGGCGTTTGGGGAGGACCAGGGAGTTTGCCCCTCCAGGTCATGCCAGTCTGAGGCTGTGCAGCCCACCCTCTATAGCCACACCCAAACCTTCTCCACCCACTGGAGGGCAAGGTGTGAAGGGGATCCTGCCATGGGGGAGCGGGATGGGGGGCTGTTCTGCCTCTGCCTCCTTTGGCTTGACTTTCCAGAGCACTGCTGAGTGGGAGGTGTGTGCTCCTGTAGGAGGGGAGGATGGGTTCCAGGCCTAGGGAGAACTTGGTCTTTAGGGGACACGGAGGAATAAGCAAAGGGTCTGGAGTCCTGAGAACAGAACAGTTGACCCACCCTGCCTGGGGGTGCGAGGGCTCCTGGGACAAACCTGGCCAGTGATGAGGTGGGGTGGGGCAGGGCGGGGCTTCAGCCGATGAAAGGATGATGCACAAGAATGCATGTAGGGGAATTTACCACGTGGACAGCGCACCCAGGACCCACTCAGGACCTGGAGAAGACTGCAGAGGTTTCACCCGGGCCACAGAGAGGGGGTTTCTCCTAGTTCCTCCAGAGGGGACTCCTGCTGCCTGATCTTGATGTGACTGCCTGGGTCCATCGGGGAGAACCGACCCTGTCCTGTGTCTTTCCATCACCCTCTCTCGGAATCACCCCTCTCTCGGGCCACAGAGAGGGGGTTTCTCCTAGTTCCTCCAGAGGGGACTCCTGCTACCTGATCTTGATGTGACTGCCTGGGTCCATCTGGGAGAACCGACCCTGCTCTGTGTCTTTCCATCACCCTCTCTCGGAATCGGGTTCATCAGGCAGAACGGACCCTGCCCTGTGTCAGGCTTCTCATGCACCCTCTCTCGGAATCCTAGCAGCCCTGTGAGGAAGGTGCTATCTTCCCCATTGTTACAGATGAGACGACCAAGACCCAGTGACACTAAGGGACCGGCTGAGGTCCTGCGGGTGGTAGGAGAGGCAATAATAATATTCATAGCTGGCGATGGAGGGATCAACACTCCGGGTGTGTGAGCTGTGTAATCCTCACCTAGCCCTGTGCAGCTGTAGGATCACCTCCCTTCAGAGAAGAGGAAATAGACACTGGCGGCTTTGAATGTAGGTTTGTCTAACCCAGGGACTACCCACTCCCTAAGAAACAGTCTCTACCTTAACAATAAATGTGATAGTTCCTTATGCTGTTGAGAAGTTTTGTAATTTAGGGCTGGGGGCCATGGCTCACGCCTGTAATCCCAGTGCTCTGGGAGGCCAAGGTGAGAGGATCACTTGAGCCCAGGAGTTTGAGACCAGCTGGGGCAACATAGCAATAACTGGTCCCTAAAAAAAAGCACACACAAAAAACAAAAAACTAGCAGGGATGGTGGTGTGCACCTGTGGTCATAGCTACTCGGGAGTTTGAGGCGGGAGGATCACTTGAGCTGAGGAGTTGGAGGCTGCAGTGAGCCATGATCGCATCACTACACTCCAGCCTGGGTGACGGAGTGAGACCCTGTCTCTACAAAAGGAAAAGGAAGAAATTGTGTAGTTTAGCAAGTGCCTTTAGTTAGTTCCCCTGTTTATCCTTGACTGGGCTCTGAGGTAAGGTAAAAGACCCACTGTCTATGTTTTACAGAGAGGGGAACTGAGTGAGTGAGTGAGTATGGATCCAGGATTTGGGCCCCGGTCTTGTCACTCCTACGTGTGGGGCCCTTGACCCCTCACAGCCCTGGTAGGGCCTGAGGCTCACAGAGGAGGGGAGCAGCAGCTCACGCCAACCACCCACCCGCCTGCGGACACAAGCTGAAGTGACTGGGAAGTGGGGGAGCACCACCGCCTGCTGTCAGCCAAGGAGGCCGGAGGCCTGGCTGCCTGGCCAGATTTTACAGATTCTAGCCGGGCCCTGACTCCTGCCTCGGATTCCCTTCCCTGTGGAAGGGCGCTGGGGGCCAGAGGTGGAGGGGCTCAGAAGGACCTGGGGGAAGAGGTGCTGGGAGCAGATGGCAGGTCTTTGGAGACACACACACACACACACACACACACACACACACACACACACACACACACACCCTTCTCAGGGGAGAAATTCAAACCCCTCAGCCTTTGTCAGTCCCACAAAAGCATGGCTGCAGCTCGGCACCTGATCCCCGAGGGGTGGAATTTAAGGAGGAAGAACCCCCCCCCCAACCCACCTTGTTCCCCCTGCCCAGGATGGGCAGCAGGTGGGCAGGGCATGCTGTTGGCAGGGGCTGCTTCTGCCCCCAACTGGGGAAGCTGGCACCACACTCTGGGTTTGGGGGCTCCTGTCCCCAGCCTGTGCCCCCTGCTTCTCAGGGTCATGGCCTGCTGGGTTCCTGGGCAGGCCTCTCGGGAGATGACAATGGTGGTCACTCTTCATTAGGGTCTCACTGAGGGCCAGAGTGTGTCCGTGTGTGTGTGTGTGTGTGTGCGCGCACACGTATGTGTGTATGCCTGGCTTTGTTTAATCCTCACAGCCAGCTGATGAAAGAGGGGCTCTTATTATCCCTATCATACAGATAGGGACAGGGAGATTTACAGAGGCTGCCCTGCTTGCCCAGAGCCCAGGGACAGAGGCAGACATCAAGCCCCATGACCTGGCCCTTGAGCCCGTTCCTCTGAATGGTGCTGGCGGCACAGGCACCCAGCCCCTTGCTCCCACCCTGCAGGATGCACCAGTCACCAGCAAGTAGGAAGGGCTTGTTGGAATGCAGATTCCTAGGCCCCCACCCAAGGAACTTCTGCTTGGCAGCGCTGTGTGAGGCCCAAGAATCTGCATTTTTGACTCCCCTGTGATTCTGATAAGGACTTTGGCCCACTTTAAGAAGCTTAGAGATGGGCCCGTGGGCAGGAGTGTACCGACCCTGTTTGTATACTCTGAGGGGTGCAACGTTAGGGTAGGGCTTTGCACTGAGGACACTGCTCTGTTCCCCTGAGGTCGGGGTCCTCGGGGGTGGGGGCTGAGGGCTGAGGGCCAGGATAGGCCGGGGAGGGAAGGGTGCTGCCCTCTTTGCAGGCCTGTTCTGTCTCCCTTCCCACCACCCAGCAGCTGTGTGGTCTTAGACTGGCCTCAGACTCTTTCCTCTCATAGCTTTGCTTCCTCACCAGTAAAATGGGGACAGCAAACCCAGTTGCCTCAAGCTGGGGGCTGGGCCTGATGCTTTGAGGCTTGGAAGGGCTGAGCCGGCCAGGCTGGAGCAGTGACAGGTTCTGGTTCCTGTGGCTGCCGTGGGGGCAGAGCTGGCGAGAGCTGCCTGCGGCTGGCGGGAAGGGAAATGGAAGCCTCTTCTGTTCACCCAGCTTCACCCCACGAGGCTAGCTGGCTTCTTTCCATGCCCCTTCTGGGCCTGCCTTGCCCTTCCCTGTCTCTGGGAAGCTGCCGAGGCTATTTCAGCTTTATTTATTTTCCCATCTCTATATTGGTCTCCAAAGTGGCACTTTGGGTGTCTGGGACACCTGGAGCCTCCCCTGTGGAGGAGGTAACCACAGAACTGTCCAGAAATGACCCTCTGGGTGGTCCTGCCCAGGTCTGGCTGAAGCAGGGGGCTGGCAGCTGGATCCCCAGCCCCCCTTCTCACCTGCTGCTCCCACCCCACCCCCAGGCTGAGCAGAGGCAGTGGCTTTGGGGTGGGACTGAGCTGCAGGTATCTGTGTGGCCCTGATCCCAGGCAGAAGTGCCAAGCGCCGGGAGACTGTTCTTCCTTTTTTTCCTTCCCGAACTCACCTTGATGGGGTCGTGGGAAATTACAGGGGGTTTCTGCTCCTCGGATCTTGTGAGCAGCGCGGGTGGTAGAGTATCGCTCTTGCCCCAACTCGCTGGCCTGCGATTGAATCTTACATCTGCTGCCACCAGCTGTGTGACCTTGGGCAAGTTGCTTAACCTCTGTGTGTAGTGCCTTTGTCTGAAAAATGGGGATTACCTCTCTCCAGAGGGTGGTGTGAGATAGGAGGATATGTTAAGCATTTCAAGATTCCTGGCATGGAGTCAGCACTCAGTGTTTGCTATTACTACTGTCCCGGAAAGAGAGGAAATGGAACTTGTACATGATGAAGCTGAGAAATACACACGGCAACCTTTTGACCGTGACTTCCAGCCCCGGCCCTTTCCATCAGCTCTCCTCTCCATCTGGGTGTGTCTGATTTGTATTTATTTATTTATTTATTTTGAGACAGAGTCTCTCTCTGTCACCCAAGCTGGAGTGCAGTGGTGCAATCTTGGCTCATTGCAGCCTTGACTTCCCAGACTCAAGCGATTATCTTGCCTCCACCTCCTCAATAGCTGGGACTACGGGTGTGCACCACCACGCTCGGCTAATTTTTGTATTTTTAGTAGAGACAGGGTTTCGCTATGTTGCCTCGGCTGGTTTCAAACTCCTGGCCTCAAGTGATCTGCCTGCCTCAGCCTCCCAAAGTGCCGGGATTACAGGTGTCAGCCACCGCACCCTGTGTAGAACTAGTTTCTTTTTTGTTAGAAGGGGATGGGTTACAAAGTATATTGGCCCAGCACACAGTAGGCACATAATAGTGGAAATTGTTGGTATTATATTTTGCTCAATAAATGTTGTATTTTTTTAGACATTTTTATTAATTTTTTTATAGAGATGGAGTCCTACGTTGCCCAGGCTGGTCTCGAACTCCTAGGCTCGAGTGATCCACCTGCCTTGGCCTCCCAGACTGCTGGGATTATAGACAGGAGCCATTTTGTTTTTAAGTCCAGCCTAATTTTTGTGTTTTTTTTAGATGGAGTTTCACTCTGTCGCCCAGCCTGGAGTACAGTGGCGCCATCTCAGCACACTGCAACCTCTGGCTCCCAGGTTCAAGGAATTCTCCTGCCTCAGCCTCCCAAGTGGCTGGGATTACGCCCATCACACCTGGCTAACTTTTTTTGTATTTTTTTTTTTAGTAGAGATGGGGTTTCACCATGTTGGTCAGGCTGGTGATGAACTCCTGACCTCAGGTGATCCACCCGCCTCCGCCTCCCAAAGCGGTGGGATTACAGGTGTGAGCCACCGTGCCTGGCACAATTTTTAAGTAATGATCCTTCTTATTTTATTGGGTCATCAAGGCAGTTGTTTTCCCAATTATGCTGCTTTGTTTGGAGATTACGTGTCTGCATTCAATTCATTCATCATCCAACAAAAGTTGATTTGCACCTCCTGTCTGCTGGGATGAGAAGCAGGATAGACCCAGGGAGAATAACTAAGAACTGACATGACAATTAGAGTTTCATGGATGGTGGTTGTTTGGGTGTCAGGAGCCTCAGGTGCCAGTCAGTCCTGGCCCTCACACCAGAGTTTCCAAAATGGGAGCCCAGGCATCTCCCAGGAGTGGGGTCCTCTGGCTGAAGCACTGAGTTGCATTCTGGCCTGAGCGACAACTGGGTTGTGACCTTGGGCAGGTCCCTCCCTGCACAGGGACCCCCACAGCACCCTGGTGAGCCATCCTAGACAACAGGGGCAAGCACTCCTGCCAGGGCAAGAAGGGAGCCCTGAAGGAGGGGCTCTGGGCTGGGCCCCCCTCCCTACACCCCAGGCCCCCCACCCTTCACTTCTGCCACCCCTTCCATACCCAAAGGCCTCTCAAAGAACCTTCCCCATCTTGATTCTCCACGGTCAGGGTCTGAAGGTGCTTGAAAATGATCACAGACCCCAAATGGGAGGGATTTTAGAGATCAGCTAGCCAGCTGCCTTCAGGGGACCCAGAGAGGGGAGCTGACTTGCTTAGAGACACACAACAAGGTGGTGCTGATCCCAGGCTCCCTCTTTCTCAGCACCTACCCCTCAGCCCTACCCTCTGTGGGCCTCCTATGTTAGCAGTGAAATGAATGATCCTTCCCCAACAGGGAGGGGGACGCAGAAGCAGTTCCCGAGCCTGGGAACCAGCTGATGTCATTGCAGTGTCGTCATGGCGATTATTCCCCTGATTAGGGGCCTGACCCTTGGAAAGCCAGGAAGCAGGGGATGGAGTGGGGACTGGCCCTCGTTCAGCACCTCGTCGCTGACAGAGCACTTTCACAATGGCCATCCACAATGCGCTGCTGCTTTCGAGCCACTGTCTGCATCATGGGTTGGAATGACTGGCGTTATGACCCATTTTACAGATGTGGGAACTGAGTCTTGAGATGTGAAGTCGTTGGCCCAAGATCACTCAGAAGTGGGAGACTGTGTTAGTGCCAGCTCCGCCTGGCTTTGTGCCCATACTTGGTGATAAGAAGCTCCCTCCCCATATTATACCTGATTTCTGTGACGACTCTTTTACAGATGAGGAAACCGAGGCCAGGGGCTTGAGATGCAGGGCTTCTGTATCTGGAGCTACATTTCTCTGTCTCTGAGTGCCCTACCTTCCCCAATGCCCACTTCCCAAAGGGCCTCCCACTAAGAGTCACCGTGTTGGCCCACGGCTTCCCAGAAGAGCTGGTGCTAGGCAGGTTCTGGACTCTTGGGGTGGGTTGGTGCCTCTATCCACTGCATTCACTTCTGATCTGATGGGGACCAGCACATCCAGGCCCTTCTTGTCTGGATCAGAACAGAGGAGAGGGAACCACATGGATGAGTGACTGGGGCTTCAGGAGACAAACAAGGACTCTGATCCCTATGGACATGTGCAGGGGACCTGACAGGTGTGGCCACGGCTGTGTGTGCACGCGCAGTCACTCCAGTCCAAGCGCAGCTCGGTGCTGCCGTTGGATGATTCCCTGCCTGGGAACTGCCCGGGTCTGTGTCCTGGGCTGACCCGTGTCCAGGACAGTGCAGCCCCTGTGGAGGAAATCCAAGCAGCTGGTGGGGTCTGGAACAGATGGCTGCTGAGGTGGACAGTGAAGTCTCTGGAAGCCAAGGAATAGTTTCCTGTTCCATGAGTGTTCTCAGCCTCATTCTGTTCTTCAAAACCCCCAGGGGAGGACAAGCTGTTCCTCATATTTCAATACCTTTCGTGCCAGGGAAGTCCTTTCTGATGTCTGACTTGAGTCCCTCTAGTACTGTGGTGGGGTGGAAGGGTTCTTCCCTGGAGCTTGGAGACCTGCTGCGATGCTGTCTGACCGCTGCTGCTTTCCTCCCCTCCTATGGTGGTGGCCTCTGAAGCCAGCCCAGCAGCCTCCCAGAATCCGTGGGGCCTGTCAAAGGCGCATTGATGGAGCCTTCCCTGGGGCTGTCTCACCACCCTCCTTTCTGGGCACCAACTCTGTCCTTTGGCACAGCCATCACTCAGCTGGTTGCTGAAAAGCTCCCCCAGGCGCAGTGGGCAGGGCCACATCCTGGCTAACATGAGGGCTGGGGCCACCCTGGGAGCTCTGGAGAGAACCTTTTTCCTATAAGCTTCCCGACAGGATGGGCTGGGAGTGAAGGGTCAGGGGTCTGGCAGATGAGGGTTTGCACTCTGGTGGTGCCGTTCATTGACCGCTAAGCTCTGTGACCTCAGGCAGGGGACTTTGCCTTTCTGTGGCTCCGTTTCCTGGTCTGTAAATTGGAGCTGTTAATTGCGTGGCTGTATATATGGTGGGATGTAAAGGAGATGGTTCATGTGAGGCCCTGGGCTCTGTGCCCGCCACTCAGCACACTGAAGACTTACTAGTGGCTTCTTATTACGAGTCTAACACCTTTGAGCGGAGGCTTCTGCTTTGAGTTGGGGACTTCTGGTCAGTGTCTTTCTCCTGACTCCCTGTCCCCATCTCCTGACTGGTTGCTGCCTCAGAGGGGCCCCAGGCCGAGGCCCTTTTGGCTCCTGGCGCAACTCCAGTCCCTCTTCCTCCCGTCCTGCAGGTGCGCTACAAGGAGGAGTTTGAGAAGAACAAGGGCAAAGGCTTCAGCGTGGTGGCAGACACGCCCGAGCTCCAGAGAATCAAGAAGACCCAGGACCAGATCAGTAACGTGAGCTCCCGCCCCATCCTGCGGCATCCCTGCTGCCCTCTGATTGGCCTCTCCCTGGCAGCCTGGCAGATGTGAATGGAGCCAGTGCCTCCCCCACCCCTGCCCTCTGGGGTGGGCCTGGGGAAGAGCTTGGGGTTCCCAGATGCCTCTTCTCTTTGTGCCCCCAGACCAGCCCACGTAGCATTTTCTCCTTGAAGGGCCTGTATTCTGTGGGGGGTGTGGGGACCTGTGTGGTAAATCAGCCCCCAACTCTCTCTGACTGTCGTTCTTTTTTCTGGATATGGTTGGTATTGGTGTAGACTGCACGTCTCATCTGAGCACAAAGGTCAGAACTGGGGGGTGGGGAGCGCCTGGCCTCCCCTGATCTGCGCCTGGGTGCTGACATTGCAGTCATTTCCGCCCTGTCTTGGCCTCCTCCCCCACATCAGCCTGCTCTTCCTTCCTGTGTAAAAACCCCAGCCGGCTTCGCCTGCCAGCCCTGCACCCCCTGGCTCGCACCCGCCACCTCCCTGATGGTCAGTGGCATCTGGCTGTGGCAGGGGTGGGCGTGGAGAGTGGGTGGGGGATCAACTGTCCCCAGCATCGTGTGCCCTCCATGGCACCTGTGGTCAGAGAATAGGCCTTGGTTTCCTGCCTGGCAGAGCCACAGGCAAGCAGCCTGTGTGGCTTTAGGCAAGTAGGGGCAGGGCACTGCGGTGAGCAGCAACCATGGGGGACCCGCACACAGAACTGCAGGGGCTGCCCGGCCAGCCTGGCCCAGGAGGCCCTGCCAGGGAGGGTTTAGGCGGGCACCTGTCTTCATGTATGGAACAAGAAGGGATCAGTGAGTTGCCCGTTGTCGCTCTGGGCTGAGGAACTGGGGATAGAGATTGCGGGAGTCCTGGCTTTCCGGTGGTCTCCTCAGCACCCACTCCCTGGGTTCCACAGCCCTTCCCACCCTCCACCTGGCCACCTCAGCAGGGCGCTCCTTTAAGAGCTTCGCTGGGCCATGCATAGAGTGGGCTGCAGTGGTGGGTCCAGTGGATTTCAGAGGTGCCGGCAGCCCACAAACAGCAGAACCAGCCATTCCCAAAACTGTGGCTTTCGAACTCTGACTTCAGCCTACAATAAAATACACATTGTACGTCTTGACCCATCTAACAGGCATACATTTATGTAGAGGGAAAACAGAATAGAAGCTTTCATGAATGAGTACTTCCTACTTAGAGGGAGTTCAGATCTTTGTTTTTCTTTTTTTTTTTGAGACAGTCTTGCTCTGCTGCTCAGGCTGGAGTGCAGTGGTGCTCCGCCTCCAGGGTTCAAGTGATTCTCCTGCCTTAGCCTCCCAAGTAGAGTAGCTGGGACTACAGTCGTGCGCCACCACCCCCGGCTAATTTTTGTATTTTTGGTAGAGATGGGGTTTCATCATGTTGGCCAGGCTGGTCTCGAATGCCCGACCTCAGGTGGTCTGCCCACCTCGGCCTCCCAAAGTGCTGGGATTACAAGTGTGAGCCACCATGCCCGGCCACATTCAGATCTTTTCTAAAGATGCTGGTTGCAGGCCCCTCTCCACCCTCACATAATACAGTCCCTTCGAGGACTGTATTCCCAACACTTTGGGAGACTAAGGTGGGAGGATTGCGTGAGCCCAGGAGTTTGAGACCAGCCTGGGCAATATGGCAAAACTCTGTTTCTACAAAAAACAAAAACAGAAACAAAAAACAAAGACTAGCCAGGCGTGATGGCACTGCAGGTTGCAGTGAGCTGAGATTGTGCCACTGCACTCCAGCCTGGCAACAGAGCGAGACTTGAGACTCCGTCTCAAACAAAACAAAACAAAACAAAACAAAAAGATGCTGGTTACGGACTTACTGTGAATGGGTTTTGCAACTGGATTGTTGACCTGCAGTTTGAAATTGGTGGCCTGAGGAAATGGCATGCTTCCCTTTGGCTAGCAGGGCATGCCCGGGGCGGCACGCTCATCCTTCTCCCCGCCCACAACTGCCAGAGGCCTGTCACGGTTGATTCTTTATATGCCAGGGCCTGGCCTCACACCCTGGAGCTTCCCTTTGGCTTAGACCCTCCAAAGGGTAAGAAAGACCCTTTAGGTCTGTGTCTCAGAGCTCACCACTTGGAAAGTCGGGGAGGGGGAAGATGGTCTTAGATTATGGGGAAAACCCGGAGTGGAATGGTTCACAGAACTGGAATGTTGGCTCTTCAGCCCCTGCGGCTTTTCATGTAAAGGCCCTTGTCTTTTATCAGTGACAGTTGCTCCCAGTCTGCAACCCCGGCCCCCTGGCCATTCACTCACTCATTGCTTCACCCTGTGGGTTTTGGAGGAGGGAGACGAGCCCAGTCATCCCTGCTTCCCTTTCTGGAAGGCTTCCAGAACACTCCACACTCAGCCTAAGCCACCTCCTCTTCTTCCCTCCCCCAGTTATTAGAGGTGTTAATATCCTAGTGACAAAACTCACCACCCTGGCCAAGCCGTCCACACCTCAGGAGATAACCATCTTTTACTCTGCAGTTAGCTGATGGTCCTCTGCAGGAGCTGGGGGAAGGGATTGAGCCCGACCTGGTAGCTGCTTTTGCAGCTTTAGCAGAGACCTGTGGGGTGTGACTGCAAAGCCTGGAGACTCTTGGTTTTAATGAAGGCAATTACAGTCTGTCCCATACGGGCCTCCAGACAGCTGTAGCACAGTCACCTGTAGGGTTAACTGAAAATGCAGACTCACAGGCCTTCTCCCCTGGCTGCCAGAATCAGCGTCTCTGGGAGTGGGTCTCAGGAATCAGCATGTTAAACACATTCCCTGGGTTTCTGTGGTGCTCTCTGAAGTTTGAGAGCCACCACCTAAAAGTCTGAAAAAGCTTCAACTCCTAAGTCAGAGGGTGCCAGATCAGGCTGTGCCTCAGAACCCCGGGGAGCTGTATTTCTATTTTTTATTTTTATTTATTTATTTATTTTTGAGACGGAGTCTCGCTCTGTCATCCAGCCTGGAGTGCAGTGGTGCGATCTCGGCTCACTGGGTTCATGCCATTCTCTTGCCTCAGCCTCCTAAGTAGCTGGGACTACAGGCGTCTGCCACCACGCCCGGCTAATTTTGTTTTTGTATTTTTAGTAGAGACGGGGTTTCACCGTGTTAGTCAGGATGGTTTCAATCTCCTGACCTCGTGATCCATCCGCCTCGGCCTTCCAAAACGCTGGGATTACAGGCGTGAGCCACCGAGCCGGGCCTATTTTTATTTTTGAGACAGGGTTTTGCTCTGTCATCTGGGCTGGAGTGTGGTGGTGTGTTCGTGGCTCAGTGCAGCCTCAACTTTCCGGGCTCAAGCTATCCTCCCACCTCAGCCTCCGAGTAGCTGGGACCACAGGTATGCACACCACCATGCCCAGCTAATTTTTCTTTTTTTTTTTGCAGAGACACTATCTTGCTATGTTGCCCAGGCTGGTCTCAAACTCCTGGATTGAAGTTATCCTCCCGCCTCAGCCCCCCAAAGTGCTGGGATTATAGGGGTGAGCCACCTCACCTGGCCTCCCAGGGGAGATTTTTTTTTTTTTTTTTAATTTTATTAGAGACAAGGTCTCACTACGTTGTCTTAAACTCCTGGACTCAAGCGATCTGCCCACCTCGGCCTCTCCGGGACCACAGGCATGAGCCACCCGCCTGGCCCAGGGAGCTTTAAACCACGCGTAAAACCATTGCTAAGTTTTCCCAACCTCCTGAAGTGTTTTGGGAAAGAGAGTGTTTAGAGCCACACCTTTTGTTTTGTATCCAAAATAGCATTCCTGTTCCTGCATGTAGCTTGTTGCTTTGCTTCCCAGATTAGCACCAAATGACTCTAGTTATTTTATTTATTTATTTATTTATTTATATTTATTTATTTTTTTGAGACGGGGTCTCGCTCTGTCACCCAGGCTGGAGTGCAGTGGCACGATCTCGGCTCACTGCAATCTCTGCCTCCCGGATTGAAGCGATTCTTCTGCCTCAGCCTCCTGCGTAGCGAGGACTACAAGTACACGCCACCACGCCCGGCTAATTTTTAGTGGACACAGGGTTTTGTCATATTGGCCTGACTGGTCTCGAACTCCTGACGTCAGGTGATCTGCCCGCCTTGGCCTCCCGAAGTGCTGGGATTACAGGCGTGAGCCACTGCGCCCAGCTGACTCCAGTTATTTCTAAAGGTCAGGCCATCTTGCAAAAGGATGAGAATTTGCTTCCCTGGAGGGATATGCTGCAGACTAGGGCTTTTTACCAGCCAGAGCATTTTAAAAACAAGTGTCTGGTCTCCTCTGGGGTGTCTGCTTTGGATAAGTGCAGTCTGTCTTCAGTGTTGCTGAACGGCGAGACAGTGAGGTAGGAGGAGATGGTAAGGGCCCAGATCCTAGCTTCTGTCATTCTGTGGCCACGCAGGGTTCTTTGAGCCTCAGTTTCCTCATTTGTAAAAATGGGACAGTAGGCCCTACTTTGACGGGTGGTTGCAAGGAAAATGCCAAGTTCTTGGCATACGATAAATGATGTCACTATTATTATTATCATCATCATTATTTTTGAGACAAGGTCTTGCTCTGTTGCCCAGGCTGGAGTACAGTGGCACGATCATAGGTCACTGCAGCCTCGAACTCTTGGGCACAAGTGGTCCTCTCACCTCAACCTCCTGAGTAGCTGGGACTACAGGCATATACCACCATGCCCAGCTAATTGTTATATTTTTTGTAGAGATAGGGTCTTGCTATGTTGCCCAGGCTGGAGTGTAGTCACGTGATCATAGCTCACTGCAGCCTTGAACTCCTGGGTTTAAGTGAACCCCGGCCTAAGACTCCCAGATTGCCGGGATTACAGGCACACGCCATCACACCTGGTTATGTTGTCAATGTTGTTAATACTTTAAAGGCACACTGATCTGCTTTCTACACTGTAGCCAGAGAAGGGACTTGAAGTGAAGTTTGGCAGAAAAGTTTGGCTATTGTCTAGTACTGAGAAAGTGTGGAAAGGAGGAAAGAGGCTAGTATATTACACATC